AATAGCGATAAAGCCGACGGCTGGTTTTTCCATCTTCCTCGTTCAAAGTCATTAAGAAACGCGCCGGAATGATTGAGAGAACCGACGGGATCAGTCTGCCCATTAATCCAACATCTTGGTGCTTCATGGGGTGGCACACCCGATTGATCAACCGATCCGGGCGATGAAGAGTACCAAGAATCCTGTGCACTCATACTGATACTCGGACTAGGGCCACTGTTTGTAAAGTATGAAAAGAAACCACAATCGGTATCGAATTTCTACTCTGGTTTGCCGTCAAGGTGATGATATATCGAGCACCATTTGGCTGGATCTGCGGCTATGAAGTCATTCGGGTATGGCTTGGAGGCTGCAAAGTCGAGCAACCGTCCTTGACAAGGAGATGGATCGATTAGATGATCGAATGAATCATCAACCTGACTGAGCCAAATTGGATTGGCACCGGCACTCGAACTTTCGCAGAAGTCAAGGGGGAATTGCTGTAATCGAAACCCGTTGTCAGCGTGCAGTTGAGAAGAGCAATTGGGCTGCTTAATGGACCCTACAAAGGTACGCCTCTTCTGCGTCTTGGTTGGGGACTTCGGGTTTGACTTGAAACAATCGGGACTGTTGCATGTTGGGGTGTTTTCTGCTTGACGCTTCAGCTTTTTGCCTACATGAGATGGTCAGTACATGTAGGAAGTGGCTGAGCGCCGCAATGACTGAATTTGCCTTACGGTAGTTGCGTTGGGCAATACGGTTTTGAATCCTGCGACGCTCAGCAAGATCGGAAATCTTGGTCCAATCCTCGTCAGGATTGGCGAGTTTGCCGGGAGTGGCACGTGTGTGTGCGGTTTCTGCGACGTCCGTATGAGAAACTCGAAATAGCATGATGGCCTGTAATAGGGTCGCGGCGTAGGCTCGTATCCGGTGACGGGGAATGACAAGACAGTGGATACAGAAAGATGACTAGTGGCAGTAAGCTGCCGAATAGAGGACCTTGAGAAAGTAGGAAGAAGGAGGGCGGCTAACAGCTTCATATAGACTCCAAAATTAAGCATGCAATTTTAGACGTGGCGTTATCAACGAAGAAATGGCCAGCAGCCTGCTTAACCATGCAAGAGGTACCGGAAGATCTTCAGCGTATCCGTACTATGCTACCCTGGTGGTCTGCCTCGCCGTGCTGCCATGCACTGCCTGAACCCACAGGCTGCAGATGGAGGGCACATTCACACTCAGCTGGTCGCCGTAGAAGTCCCACGACATGCCCTAATGCGAATGAAATCATGTTCAAAGCTGCCAATATGAACGCGGACGCCGTCAGTTGAGATAAGGAGTCCATGCAAGGCAGAGACGAAGTCGTGACAGGCCTTCTAGAATGGCACATTTGAGCATTTCGTGCCCCTGCTGATGTTGCCTGAAATAGATGGATGTGATTCGACATTCGCACTGAATTGGCTTAAGCAGACCAGCAGAGGGAAGTTTGTTGGCAAAGCATAAGGCAAGGATAGCGAGGGCTTGGACATAGATAATTGGCGGTTCATGGAAGGTGCCACCAGAGTCAGCAGAAGGGACGAGCCTTGCCTCAATCATTGGGGCATTACTCCCAACCTCAATCTAGCCTAGATAGTAAACTAATACACGGGTTACGTTGCTTTAGCCTCTCGAAAAAGTGGAATTATGTAGAAGAGTAGTAGTTGAAAAATGGGAATTGTGTCTAGGAGTGATCGTTCCTCGATGGATTCAGACAGGACAGCCCACTCGTGACACCTGAGCACATATCACAGATCGCTTACGACCAAGGGGTATGTAGTTCTAGCGAGTCACCGACTCTATGCTGTTAAGTGCTTGATGCTTTTTATGACTCGGATATTTATTTGGGTAGTAGTCAACTTCATACTCCTAGAAGGTAGTAGTGACGACAAGAAAGTCAAGATAGAAGCAATAGGCCTTTCGCAAAAAATGTGTATGAGCAATGGACAAACTTCCAAGAGATTTTTGTACATTTAATACAGAATCCTAGTCTTTCTAACAAACGAGTTGCATAGAAGGGTGGTCTCTCTAAACAAGACTATATCCGCCGCAGGGTAATTCCCCTATTAGTATGTGTGAAGGATTAGAGTAGACAAGCTTTCCCGGTGTTGCCCGCGGGTACCTTGCCTCTCTCGCAAGTTTCTTCTCGACACATCTGTGGAAGTACGTCACATCAAGTTGTGTCTAGCTGCTCGAGGATCCTGCATGCTTCTTCTGCCGTGCAACGGAGCTCTGGATTCGGGACCAATAGAAGCTAGCAGATAGTCAGTGATGAGCTCGCTGGCAGTACCATCTGACTTACCCTTGTGACCTCCAGCATTTGAATCACCCATGCAGGTGCCCGAGGCGAGACTGCGGTCTCAGGCAGCTTCAAGCTTGAGTCGCAGAAGATCATGGCCAGGTTCTCGTTAACGAAGCCAGAAGATGGACAAAACTTTCTAAAACCACTTAGTACCGGGCACGCATGGCAGTATTTCATAGTGCGTACCTGATAATCGCATCTAGCTGTTCAATGGCACTAGTGGCGGGCGATGAAGTCGACCTCACCGGCTTGAACTCCGGACCCTGTCCGATGATCATTTCTCGAAGGATGCAGCCAGCAGACCAGTTATCAACAGCGCAGGTATACACCAAGCTACGAGTATCTCCGACGAACGCATTGACTCGGAGAAGCTCGGGAGCTCTATAGTACAATGAACAGAC